TGGACTGGCATTCTGTCCACAGGGAATAAGCAATACACTTAGTCACTTCATGCTACTGAAACTGGGATAAGCTCTGATGAGGTGTGTAAGCTGAATCAACCTTTCATAATTATGAGGGGGTGCTAGTCATGGGCTCTGTGCTCATCCTTGGTTTTAGTCTTTTTACTTAATCTGTTATTGGAAGTAGCTTGGGGAAGGGATAACTGGTTTCTTTGCTGATCAAGAGAAACCACAGAAAATTTTTTCATCTCACATAGCTAACAGCTTGCTCTCTTTTTCTTCTCATCCTTTTTTTAGATTATTTTAGAGAAAACACTTAAAGTAGTGTTTGTTACTTCAACAAATAGTTATTCTCCATCTACTTCACTGCACTTCAACCGTTTCAAGGTAACTAGATATATGTGGTATTGGGTGTAAGGTATTAGTTAAAAAGTAGGGTTTATAGTATCGTCCATCTCTGAACATGATCGAAGTTAAAAGTGACGTATTTAGTCTACGTAATGAAAAATCAGAGACATCAAAACACCCAATTAGGGCAAAGGAAGATACCGTATTTACTCTAATAAGTGCCCTCCTCTGAATAAGCACCCATTCCTACAAGCTATAGTGTCAAACAAACGCCCCCCTAAAGTAAGCGCCTCCCCCTCCCTCACTTTCTTAAATAACAGCGATACAAAGTAAACCTCTTTCTATTTCCACTTTATTTACAACTTTTTAAGCTTCAATAAGAGCGGGATCAGCACAAGAGAAAATTTTCTTTTCTCTTCTACTTTATCTATGTCCATGTGTTTGAAGAGTTCCTTTGTATGTGCATTGTCTGTTTTTTTCTTGTTTTAGTTTTTGTCCCATTGCTGCGCCCCCACACCCCCCTTGATTGAGCACCCTCCCCCCAATCAACGCTGTTCCCTACAGCCCAGGTTTTAATTAAGCAGTACTATAAGAAACCGATTAGAAATAAAATTTAAGACAAACAAACTGCTTGAAACGCGGTAAAACGCGATTGGCTCAGTAGGGATTGGTTTTAATTTCAATGTTATTTTTCGAGGGGATGGCGCCATTTTTCTACACCAATCACTAAACGAATGTACAAAAAAATCGATGGAAAAATACTCATATAAAAATTGCTCTTTTTCCTAATCTTTGGAAAATGTTAACCGTATGGATTGAATCCCAAATGGTAAATGAACAGTTTTCAGCTGGAGAAATGTCGGTTGCGGAGCAAACGTGTCAATGATGTTTTTCAAGGATTGTTAAGTGTAAAAAAATATTTCAAGAAACGGCGGTTTAGTTGGAATAGATTGGGCTGACGTTTTTTCGGGATATCTGCATCCATTCCGAGTAAGTCTTGTCCAGTTTTTTGTTTTTTTCTGCACTTTCTTCTGGTGCTTTCGGTTTCTTTAGCGTTTGTTTCTTATATCTGCGCTGAAATTATCATTAAGTGTCACTATTTAAATCTCGCTCGTGCAATGTTTTCGTCCGTGCGAGGGTCGGTTCATAACAACGACTGTAATCTGCTACCGTGACTGAAATTTTTAGCAATCTGAGCGAGAGCCATCATTAGTTATGCACTTTGAACTGACAACGAGTTTTAATATCCGACATATCCAGTTCACATTGTGGATACCTTCTGTCACAAGAAAACTGTATTACATTATTCACAGTGACACTAAAATTTCCCGTTATTCTTTTCTAAAATGACTGTGTACATTTACTTGCTTTACTGGTACAAGACCATGTGGGTTTGCTTTGAGGCGTACGTTGCACAATTCGGAGGGAGGGCGTGATGACCTCCGCGGGGACAGCGTGAGTTTGTACTCTTTTCATCTTCAACATCTTATTACGTTTGTTTATTGGTAGATGAAAGATGTTTTTTCATTGCCGTGTGATAAACTCTTAGTCTGACTCAGTAGATTGTTCTGATATTATTTTTCTCTAGCATCTCAAAAAATTGGTTCTTTTTAATACGACATATACTTTTGACACTGATCACGTATTTATTGAAATATAATAATGAAGCCTCAACGAATGCCATAGATTTGGAGAAAAACACGTTCAAGTCTGAATATAACATAGTACAGCTTTGAATATTATCCAGACGGATTTCACTCAGCCCGGAAAGTAGCTTCATAGAAACAATGGTGTAATTTATTCCCACTCGAGTCATCACATTGCGGTTGTCATGCAGTTTGATTTCTTTTGTTTGCTCGCTGCGCTTTTATCAGATGAACGAATAGTCCTGACAACTACACGTGCACAATTTAACTGCTGTCTTTTGTGTCTGTCCGCTATCTTACTAAACTACCCGATACACACAACAGCTAATGTTTGTGGTTTGAATTGTCAAATAAAAGAGGCCTAATTTTATTTCCTGTTTCCGATGAGATAATCAAACGATTCACCTTGCCTATTTACGTGCTATTTGTTTGCTCTTAACATTGCTATGCCTTGAGTCATCACGTTATTATTAGCTAAAATTTATTTTTCCCACGCAATTTCAAGTGGTAGACGAGTACCTGGTACCCCAGCCGATACAATTTGTACTTGGAAGAAATTTGTTTCATATCTTTTGTGGATACTTTCGCA